TCTATGTAATTGAAAAATCTTCATAAACATAATTATAAATGGCAATTTATAGCTTACCTACATTATTGCATTATTAATTATAATTTTACATATGTATGTAGTATCCCAAAAACGTATACACAACTTTGAATAATTACAAAGCAAGTGTTTATTAAAGTACATTTCATTTTCAAAATGTAATAGAATCTACAGACACCCTCTATTCATTTTTTAGGGCTACCCGGTATGTATCTATATCTGTATATATCTATAGATGTTAATCATTCAATCAATGAGCATTAAAAAGCACTGGGGGTCCTTCCTTTGAAAAGAAACCCTGCTCGCTTTAGTGTGTGTGGGTTACACTCACAGCTGGGCACAGCTCTGCCTACTCCATAGGGGGTGGCGCCGGGAGGCCCCTGCATCAGGCGTCACTGCCTCCTGACGCCCCTCTCCCGACGCTTGAGCTGCCCGTTGGCCTGTCCTCCAGCCGTGTGGGGTTCGGCGGGGCTCCCCCAGGCCGCATGCTGGTGAGCTTCCATCGGCGGATCGCAGACTGGCAGAAGCCACGGGGCAGGGGACTGGGGCAGTTCTTCCCAGTTACTCTGCCTCCTGGCGACAGCTGGTGAAAGATGTGGCCAGCAAAGCTGGGAGTCCGTCCTTTCTCCCACCCTTTCGGCTGCAGGAGAGCCGCCCCGAGGGACGGGTCCGCCCCGGTGGCCACAGCACCGAGCGTCTGTCCGTCTGTCCGTCGGGGTCGGATGCCAGCTGGGTGTAAGGCAACTCCAGAGGTGCCCGAAGACAAGCCGAGCTGCAGTAATGGCCAAAAGCCGGCCGTGCGATAGCCCCCGGAGATAGGGCTGGGGGCCTGAGGACGTCCTAAAGCAGTGATGTTGTTGCCCAGTGATTCGCACCGTGGGCGACACGACGAATGCCCAGTGTTTTGGTTCCCTTGCTTCGTGCACATTGATGGCGCGCTGAGTTCCGCTTGGTATAGGGAACGTGCCTCCACCCTGATGGGACTAATTTAAAAAAACGTGAATTCCTGAATTCATACAGTCAGCTCTGTGCTCTTCTTTGAGAGGTTAAATATTTTTCCAGGGATGTTTCCAGTTCTCCAGAGCTTTCTAACTCTTCTCCTAGAGCTTGCCTTCAGTCTGTAGCATATTTTACAACGATAGGCATATAATATGTGTATGTGTGTATAGAATATAGAGTGTAGATTTAATTTTTAGAATTAGCTAAAAGTTATGTGAATGAGTCCTGTGAATGAGGTCGGGGTTGAACATGAACACTATTCTGTTCATCTAAAATAATGTATAGCCCTGGCTGGTTTGGCTCAGCGGTTAGAGCGTCGGCCTGCGGTCCAGAGAGACACGGGTTCGGTTCCCGCTAAGGGCATGTACCTCGGTTGCAGTTTGTCCCCGGCCCTGGTTGGGTCATGCGGGTGGCAGCCACTCAATGTGTCCCTTTTACGTCAGTGTTTCTCTCTCTCTCTCTCCCTCCCACTCTATCTGAACCAAAAATGGAAAAATGTCTTTGGGTGAGGATAAAAAAATAAAATAAAATGATGTTTGACTGTGTTACGCTGAGTTTTGTTTCATCAGTTTTGAAAAAATTCCACTGATACTGTGTGTAAGGCAGTGTTATTGTAATAGGTCAGTCACTTCTCAAAATGACCCTCAAGGAAAATACTCATTTAGATATAAGAGCTCTGATACACTTAAAGGAATTCTAACTCCTTTTTTTTTTTTTTAATCCTCATCCACAGACATTTTTGCATTTATCTTCAGATAGAGTGGGAGGGAGGGGGGGGGAGAGAGAGAGAGAAAGAAACATCGATGCGAGAGAGATACATCGACTGGCTGCCACCCACACGACCCCAACTGGGGCCGCGGACAAACTGCAACCGAAGTACATGCCCTTAGCGGGAACCAAACCTGGGTCTCTCTGGTCTGCGGGCTGATGCTCTAACCGCTGAGCCAAACTGGCCAAGGCAAGAATTCTAACTTCTTAGATAGAGAGCCACACCCCAAAAAGGGTGTTAAGCTTTAGGAATCTTTTTCCTGGCTAGGAAGGTGATGTGGAAAAAATGTGATAGAGAGTAGGAAAAGTGATTGATAGTTGATAGATAGATAGATAGATAGATAGATAGAGCTCGATGTCTCCATTTATAGGGTTACTAATCCTATTGGACTTGGGCTCCACCCTTATGATCCCCTTTAACCTAATTACTTCTTTACTCCAACTACAGCCACATGGAGGGTTAGGGTTTCAACATGTGAAGTTTGAGGCAACACAGTTCAGCCCATAACACCCCTGGTATACTCACTACACTGTGTTGTAATAATGTGTTTATGTCTGTCCCCAGTAGACTATGGTTTTCTTAGGTGCCAAGCACTGCACCAGGCATGGAGACTCTCAAGGAGCTTGTCATCCATTGTATCCGTTTCCTGTGGCTGCTGGAACAACCGAGTGTTTTAAAACAACACGCGTTTCTTATCTTACACTTCTGTGGGTTAGAGGCCTGACGCAGGTCTCACTGGGCACAGGTCAAGGTGCTGGCAGGGCTCTGGACCTCCTGGAGGCTCTAGGACAGAATCTGTTGCTTTGCCTTTGCCAGCTGCTGGAGGCTGCCTGCACCCCTTGGCTTATGACCACCCTTTGAGGCGGCTGGAAAAGGCTCTCTATTCTTAGGGAGCATGTGATTATCTTGGGCCCATGCAGATAATCCAGCATGATCTCCCCATCCCAAGATCCTTAATTCCATCACACCTGTAAAGTCCCATTTGCCACATCAGGTAACATATTCACAGGTTCTGGGGAATTGGAATGGGGACATCTGTTGGGGGGAGCATTAGTCTGCCGACCAAGTTAGTGGAGAAGAGAGACATGTAGATTGGACACAATGCAGTGTGTCAAGTGCAATAATGAAAATCTACTCAGGGTGCACCTACATGGGAAGCAGAGAAGAGGGTTCAGCAAATGATAGTTATAAAGAGGCACTGGGAGCAGAGATAAAGAAGAGGGTTCCAGGGAGGTAGAATGGGCATGATTTGGGAACTGACTTGATTTAAGTGATGAAGGAGAGAGAGAGAAAGGGAATTAGCATGATTTCCAGATTCTGGATTGGGACTGGGCAGGCCTCTTGCTGAGACAGGGAGCAAATAAAAGAAATACAAATAAACTTAGATTAGGCAAAGAGGGGAATTAATATGTTTTTGATGGGAGGCTGGCTCATGGAACTTTTGGCAGGATATTGGCAGAGCATCAGACATGAACTAGAATGAGGACCCAAGTACCATCAGGACTACTCTCTGTTTTCCCTCTGCTCCTCTCTTTCTGTCCTTTAATTTTCTCCCAAACACCAGCATCTTTTACATCTCCTTTTTGTTGGTGAAAACATTACTAACTGTAGTTCCAAGATTTTACAGTTTACATATATCATAGTTGAGTCACCCAGACAAAGACAAATCTCTCTCTCATCTCTCTCTCCTTTCTCTCTGTCAAATCCAAGCTTCTTGGAAAGGGCTCTGATTGCTGCCACTTGGGTCAGGTATATGAGTCTGATATATGAGTCTATCCACATACCTTGCCTGTTTATTCATTCACTTTTTGATGGACATTTGGGTTGTTCTTAGTGTTTTGGTTATTATGGGCATTTTCATGCAAGTCTTTTGAGGGTTGGAGGAGAATTTGTAGCATTAAATGCAGGGACTGAAGAAGATGAGTTAAGTTTTGAAAAGTTATGTCAGAGGGACTTGTAGGACATTCAGGTAGTGAGGTCCAGGACCAGTGGAGTCCAGTCTGAGGCACAGGAGAGAGAGGCGAGCTAGCCATGACCTGGAGTCATAGCTGTGGGAAAGTCCTCAGGTAGGGCATAAAGCATGAGACAAGGTAAGGCCCATGAATTAAATCCTGACGTTATTGATGTTTGAAAAGGGGAACTGCCCAGAGGTGTCGCTCAGTGGATTGAGCGCGGTCCCAATTGGGGACTTGATCCCCAGTAGGGGGCGTGCAGGAGGCAGCTGAGGGATGTATCTCTCACATCCATGTTTCCATCCCTTCCTCTTTCTCTAAAAAAATCAGTAAAAAATATTTAAAAGAAAGAAAAGGTGAATTCTCTAAGGAGGCTAAGAGAAGCATGTCCTTTTATCTTTGTGTCTCCATTATCAGACACAGCACCCAACTGCAAGTCTCAGTTTGCTAAGCTGAACCGAATAGGTGCAGAGTACCTGGCCCTGGTTACTGATGGGCCCCATACAAGGGGGTAGATCAGGAAGAGGAGTGGCTGTGAGGAGTCGCACAGGACAGAATGAACTTGGTGTATTGGAGAGGGAGAGTGGGAGGGGTGAGCACCGAGGACTCCACCTTAGCTTAGGTGGGTGGGGAGGACAGTCATTCAAGTTGAAGAATTCGGAGGAATCAGACTACACAGGGCCTGCAATGGACGTCGGATGGAGAATTCAGACTCCCAACAGACGGGCCGGGAAGAGCCGGGCTCTGGAGCAGGGCGTGAGAACAGATTTCCTTTTGGGAACGGGACTCCGGAGGCGGGGCACTGGTGGCGGCGGCTGCTGCTGCTGACAGTGCTGAGTTGTTATCGGTGGTAGCGCTTTGCCCTGGACTTTGGCTGTGTAGCCGCTGAAGGGAGCAGTGTCGCCGGCTGCTGCTGACCGGGTGCTGACCCAGGCCTGTAGCTTTGCCGCTGAGCCTGGGCAGAGCAGACAGAAGCGGTGGCATCTGGCCGCAGCTGGGAGGCAGTGCTCGCGTGCTGTCTGGGGAACCCTGGGGCGGGGCCGCGGGGCGGGGCGGTCTGCGAGCCAGGCCACGCCCACCCGCCCGCGCAGGCGCGCTTCGGACTGTTAGCTGTCAGGAGCCCAGCTGCGGGCCAGCGGGCGGCGGGATCCGACGTAGGTGCTGGCCCCGGCTGACTGAACCCCGCGCGGCCGGGCTCCCCACCGCGTCGCAGAGGCGAGCCGGGACCCGCGGGCGGCCGGCGGGAGGGCGGCGCAGGCAGCATGGGGAACCGGGAGATGGAGGAGCTGATCCCGCTGGTGAACCGTCTGCAGGACGCCTTCTCGGCGCTGGGGCAGAGCTGCCTGCTGGAGCTGCCGCAGATCGCCGTGGTGGGCGGCCAGAGCGCCGGCAAGAGCTCGGTGCTCGAGAACTTCGTGGGCAGGTGAGCGCGGCGCAGGCGGCCGCCCGCTCCGGCCGTTGGGGCCCCAGGGGGTCCCGGGAGCGGCGGGGAATGGGCGGCGGAGCGGCGGGGCCGGGGCGCGGGCGGGGTCGTCCGGCTGCGGGCATCCTCCGTCCCCCGCCCGGTGGCCCTCCTGTCTGCCTTTCATCCTGCGATACAAAGCCATTTCCTCCGCGTCCTCCGGCCAGGAGTCGGGGGAGGGTGTCCGCCCCGGGAGGGACTTCCCCCGGCTGCGCACGCCAGCCCGGGCGGCAGACGCGTAGCGCGCGGGGCGCGTCCCAGCCCCCCGTCCCCTGTTCGCGGCCGCATCTCCTCTTATCCTGCCGGCCCCCCGCGAGGGGCTCTCTCGGGGCGATGGGGTTCATCCCCCGCCCCCCGCGGAGATGCTCCGCTCCTCGCCCCGCGTCCCCGCTCCTCCCAGCTGTGTCTACTGTTCGAGACAGTCGTCGCCTGCCCCTGGCAGGGGGGGCGGGGTGCGAGGAGAAAGACCTCGTTTGTTGTGGTGCAGCTTTATCCAGCCACGCTTCCCCACCATTCTCCTCCCAGGGAGTCGAGAATAAAAGGTGGTGTGTTCGCGTGCGCACCTATTTACAGCCCCAGGCCTGTGCCCGAGAAGCCGAGGCACGACTCTGAGCCGGGCGGACGTGGACCTGGGCTGTCCAGGTGCCATGTCATTCCTGCATCATCTCGGAACTGGCCAGCATCTTTCTGGCCCTCTCGCTGCGCCCCCTCCCCCAGCCTCATCTTCCGTTCCCTAAGCTCAGATCGCCTTGCCAGTCTCCGGAATAACGGGCCGCGTCGAAACCGCAGCTAGGGGGTTCTTCGCAGACTCTTAATACGGAAAAAAAGCGAACGCTTTTATTTTTGAACTGGGAATCAGCATTTCTTCTTCCACTGAACAATTCAGGAGGGGTTAAGTTACTTTAAGAGGCCTTGACTGAGGAGTGCAGACATTTGCTAAGGCAAGCCCATTTGAAAGCATTCTGAAAGCTGAAATGTGTTTCCAGGTAAAAACAGACGAGAGAGTGGGCCTGAGCGGGGCGATCCAGAGACTGTACTTTACTCTTTTTATTTGGCAGGTTAGTGATTTGGGATTCAGAAGGGTCCTGTCCCCCCCCCCCTTTTTTTTTGGCCGATGTTTGGTGATGGGTAAGATTTAGATATTTCCAAACCTCCTTTGGGAATGTTAGTATCCATAAAGTGTATTTTATATTCTTTCAGATGATGCTCTCTCTCTCAGGTGGCACTGTTTTGTGCCCCCCTCCCCCAAACTAGAAAGCCAAGAAACCTAATAAAAAAGTAAAAATTCCAACAGTTGGCTAGTATTTTTTAATAAGTCACTTAATCACTCACTTTGCCTTGGTTTTGTCATTTATTTTGAGTAATGAGAAAAGTGATTGTAAATCATTTTGTCCATGTCATCACAGACACGATGACGTGTTGGAGGAATATGTATTTCACACATATACACACAGCAGTCACATACTTAGGGGTTTTTACTTTCTTTGATTTATTGCCAATGAAATCCACTAAATTTAAAGTGGTACCTGTAGGGAAAGCAAGGTTTGATGACAATGTATTTTTGGGTTTATAAACTCCAAAGTGTTTGACATGATGCCTTAATAGTCATTTAACTACTTTTGGTTTTTGAATAGATACTTAAAGATTAAATTTTTATGTAATTTAAGTACAATTACCATATTTTATGCATTTTTCATATGTTTAGTTGGATGAGCCTATATTATAAATGCATTGTCTGTGGCAAGAGCTTTTAAATCTAGTGTCAATTGTATGTACATACTCAATTCTATCCTTTAGATTTTCAAATCCTAACACACTTCTTCATGCCATAATAAAATTGTGCAGATTTCCCCTCACTAACTATATTCACTGGAAATGAGAAATTTAAAAAGAGATGTGGAAGAGTAAAATATTTTAGTTTGAACATTTTTTCATGGTAGAATGAACAATAGGGACATTATAAATATCATACAAATCAGACCATTTACCAGAATACATTAGGAATTTGTTATGCTTTTAAAGTTTTATCAATAATTAATTATGGTTAGGATGTCAAATCAAAGAAAAGGATGAATACAGAGGGGAAAGCTCATTTAATAAATATGTAAAGGGTCTATTATCTGTAGAGATGATACCTGCCTAGCAGAGCCTATATATGAGGAGAAAATATAATTAAAAAGGTCATTTGAATTTAAAGGTTTTGGTCATTGAATTATTGAGGAATCTAATTTCTAATTATAAACCAACCTTAGGGGCAAAGGAGCTCTCTCTCTCTCAATAGGAGATTCATCTTAGGCAGATAAAACTATTCGTATTCCGTTATAACCTTTTATCTTTTAATTATCCAGACATTTTGCAATAAAGATAAGGTCGTTTCCTTTGAGGGTGGAAGTTTCCTCTTTCACATGTTTTTAAGACTGACCTATGTGCAGTTACTGAACATAGTCACAACACAAGGGGTGATCGCTTGTGTAAATGAATAGTTTGCTCATCATTTGTACTTGTTCTCTTCAAATACTGATGCATTTTCTCCTCCGTCTCTGACAGTCCATGTTTAGTGGGCTGACCATACCTTCTTCTCTCAGATCGTTTGTTTGTATTGATTTTTTTTGGACACCACTGAGTGAATGTGGATGTGAATGTGTTTATTTCATTTAACTGTAGCTGTGAAATGCAATTTTGGGGTGACAAGTTTGAGATTGCCACGGATAACACGCGTCGTGAATGAAGCACTCGTTTGTGACTTTCTTGCTGAAGAGATGCATTTACATATTAATGTGATGTAGCGGGAGTGACCAGCCTGTTCTTTCGGTTGTTCAGATGAGACCTAGGCGGGCAGCGGGAGGCAGCGTAGTGTCTCATGAGTACAGGCTGAGACTCGTGGTCTGAAGATAGGGCTTCACTGGCTGCCTTGGGGTCTGCCATTGGTTTCTGTACAAAAGAACTGATTCAGCTGCCTTGACATCCAGTTTTGTCTCTTGGCAGAGCAGCGAGATGAGGAGGGTGGCTGGCATTTCCCGAGTGCGTGCTATGCGCGCCTCACGTGCTGGTCTAGCTCCAGTCACACGCACAGTCTCACTCAATCCTCAGGAAACCCCAACGAGGAAGGCACTCTTATGAGCGCCATTCGACAAAAGAGGAAATTGGGGTTTAGAGGGTCCGAGTGACCGGCTAAGGGCTACTTTCACCTAAAAACAGTGGTGCTAGGATTCACCCTGCGGTGTCTGGGCTCTGCAACCGGGCTCTGCAACCTGTGTGGCCCGCCGAGCGGAGACACACCGATGCCTCGGATACACGCTTTTAACTTCATTCTTTGACCACATTTAAGAGCATCACCCAAGTCCTGGCTGGTGTCCCCAGTGGTTAGAGCGCCGGCCCATGTACCAAAGGGTCTCAGGTTTGATTACCGGTCAAGGGCACGGACCTGGGTTGCAGTTTTGATCCCCGGCTCCAGTTGGGGCACGTGCAGGAGGCAACCAATCGATGTCTCTCTCACATCATTGTTTCTCTCTCTCTCCTCCTCCCTCCCTCCCTTCCACTCTCCCTGAAAATCAATGGAAGAAATACCCTCAGGTGAGGATTAACAACAGCAGCAACATGCACCACCTAAATTAATAAGCTGCTACAGTAATAATTTTATTTATATTTTCTATGTATGTCTGCCTTGCCTCGTTTCACAGAGGATTTGAAGCAAGCCCTTAGGCAAAAACAACATTAGTTAGAACATAAGCATATTTCTTTACTATATTAGACATCCTCGGAGGGCGCTCTGGACCACAATCAGGTCGTTTGTTTGACTGTGTGTTTAGAGTGCATATAGCTTGTTTATAGAGGTGTTAAGTGAAAACCATACCAGTCGCTAATGTGCAAATGTTTGTTAATGATACACTTGTTAGAAGCATCAGTTCTTAATGCTAATTATATAGACAGAGGATTCGCCATTATTTTACTCTAGCCTGAGTGGTAAACAGACTTCCAGTTTTGCACAAAAAGAATAGGTTTTGTAATTACTGGGGACCAAATAAAAGATTTTTTAAAACTGGCTATGTTGAGGGGAGTTCCTTTCAATGTGGAAATGTCAAATAATGTATATTTACTTAGTTGTGAAGTTTGTAAAGATGGGCTGGTTGATTATCAAATTACAGTGAGTCATTCGATGCTGTTGTTGAATCATATGACCAGATAGTTTTTTAAAAATCCAAAAGTCATTGATATGGCTTAGATAGACACTAATCTATTATCAAATCCTTTGATTTCAAGAGTGTATTTAAAAATTGAAGAGGTACGAGTTCTCTAATTGCAAATGAGATTAGGCACAGAAGCATTGATATTAGTAAAACTTCTTAATTCAGAAATAGGTTAGTATTGAGGGAAAAGACTTTTTAAAATATCAAAGCATCTGAATTTGTGAATATTTTTTAACAAGTGGCATCTAAGCATTAAAGTTATTAGATACATGGACGCTATCAATTGAAATGTGATAATTGTAAAAAAAAAAAAAATCACGCTTGCCCTGGCCGGTTTGGCTCAGTGGTTAGACCGTTGGCCTGTGGTCCAGAGAGTCCCCGGTTCGGTTCCCGCTAAGGGCACGTACCTCAGTTGCAGTTTGTCCCTGGCACCGGTTGGGGTCGTGTGGGTGGCAGCCAGTCGATGTGTCTCGCTCATATCGATGTTTCTCTCTCTCACTCCCCACCCTTCCCCTCTATCTGAAGATAAATGCAAAAATGTCTTCAGGCGAGGATTAAACAAAAAAGAAAGAAAGAAAATCACGCTCTGTGGTTCCCAGGAGTCCATTTCAATGAAGCATCAGAAACATAAACTTTTTAAACCCAATAATAAATTGCTAAAACCTAAAATTACAAAGATATTTTTGCTGAATCAACATTACATAATGTACTTTTAGGCTGTCACAAATTTGCAGTTGGATTAATTACCACAGTCAACGTACATTTTTATTTATA